AAATTCCACATTGTTTTGCATGAACAAGACGAGACACGTTAAGATTTGGTTGTTCCTCTGCCCATGATGGCTTTCTTTGTATTCCTGTCTGGTTTGAGTAGAATTATGTAACATTTGGGTCCAAACAGCGCCACCAAGAGGCCAAAGCTGGAGGCCAGGATGGCGAACACCTCCACTGCGTCTGCATATTTGCCCGGGGAGTTGATGTAGGCAGGAACAAAGGCCACCCACACAGCGCAGAAGATCAGCATGCTGAAGGTGATGAGTTTGGCCTCGTTGAAGTTGTCCGGAAGATTTCGTGCCAAAAATGCCAACACCAAGCTAATGAACGCCAGTAAAGCAATGTAACTAAGCAGAACAGCAAATCCAAAGGTTGAACCGACGTCACACTCATAAACTATTTTGTCATTTTGGTACTGCGTGTTTTTATGTGGCATCGGTGAAGCAGAGACGATCCAAACAGTGCAGATTGCTGCTTGAATGCAAGTGAGAGCGAAGACGGTTCCTCGCTGCTGACTTGGACCGAACCACTTGAGACTGGCGCCCCCTCCTGGCTTGGAGGCTTTGAACACAGCCAGAACCACCATGGTTTTGACCAGGATGCAGGACACGCAGAGCACAAAGCTGATCCCAAACGCTGCGTGTCTCAGTTGACATGTCCACAGTCTGGGTCGTCCGATGAACAGCAGCGAACACAGGAAGCACAGTTTGAGCGACACCAGGAGCAGGAAGCTCAGTTCTGAGTTGTTGGCTCGTACAATGGGTGTACCGCGGTGATAGATGAAGATCCCCAGAACAACAGCGCAGATGAATGTTCCCAGCAGTGAGGCTGCTGTCAAACAGATCCCAAGCGGTTCCTGATAGGAGAGGAACTCTGTTTCTTTAGGGAGACAGTGATCTCGCCGTGGGCTGGACCAGAAGTCCTCTGGACAACTGAAGCACTCTCTGGCATCTGAAAAACAGGAACAAACTGACATATTTTTGCACGTTATGTGTTTTTGCTTAAATGCAAAAATAATAACACTTACTGGATCCATTGCTGATCTTTCCCTCAGAACAGGGAATGCAGTCAAAGCAGCAAACAGGCTGACCCTTTTTTCTTGCCATCCGTGTACCTGGAGGACAGTTTTCACTGCATGCTGACTGGGGTGGCTGGAGGTAGGAGATGGAACCCATCACTCCTCATTAGCACACACCTATATTTAAACGACAACTTAAATGCTATCTGCTAAGAAGAAATCACCTTCTTTGACTCAAAGTTCCAAAAGATCAGGTTTTCGTTAAGCACGAGCTCTTCCCTGCCGAAGGCGGACTTCTTCACTTCGCCAACGTTCTGGATTTTGGTTCCTCCATCCGGGAGCCACACCCAGTTCATGACGTCATATATAGGCAAGGCGTCGCCATTTTCATCAAACGACACTTGATCACCAAACGGTGTGGTGAAATTGATTTCCTGTAAATAGTGCAAAAGCTACAAAAGGACGAAGAGAACGACAAACCTCAAGCAGACTTTCATGAAAATCTACAGTAGACTTTTCATAAATCTTGACCTGATGTTTATTCTACTGTCCTGAGCGCAAGGTCAGCGATTTGCAGCGTAATTTGATGTCACACCTGCCACGACTCCAGACTTTGCAGAGCCGCGCAGGTCCCATCTACAAAGGGTCCTCTGCCTGGCTCACAATGCAGCATCTCATCAAGAGCATGAGCCAGAGCATACACCGCTTTGTAAACGTTATACTCAGGTCTGAGGTTGGAGACGTCCAGAAGCTCAGTCTCAACCCGTTGAAGATCTTCGTCACCAGTGCACTGAGCTTTATCATCTTCTTCCCCTTCGGCTGGTTCGAACTTACACTGAAACGTGTGTTCCCAGAACTGCCTGACCTGAAACACATCCAAAATGAAAAAGAAATGCTCAGGACTTTTAGATTTGTAATAACTTGTGTCCTTTCCCGGTGGCATTCCTTCAAAAATCCTTTAAAGTTTACCAGACTGGTTTCGGAGTTGTCGCTTTTATTAGGACGGGTTTGTAGTAGAAAGTCTCTGAGGCCTGGAATTTCCCCTCGACGAATAGCGACACCCAGACTGCCACCAAGGAAAGGAATGAAGCGGGGAATCTGGAGCACAGCTGCTGAGGCCCACGCTTCACTTGCTATCCATTGTCGGCCGGTGACATTTTGTTCCGCTACCTGGGTGTTACGTTAACAAAAACACATCAAGTTTCAGAACATGGATGGCTTGATGGTGCCATTTTTGTGGGCTACGTGATGAAAAGCAGAAACTAGAGAAGAGAGAAGATTGACAGTCGACTGCTAGCAAGAACAGTTTGAATAGTTTATGCATTCACCTCTTCTATCAGCCTAAACGTGTGAATCTCATGAGCAAACACGATGACAACGCGAGCCGTTGACGTCTTGATCAAATTTACGATTCTCTTAAGTTCGCCTGGTTTGCTATCCCAGGGCAAGACCTCCACATACGCCAGGCAAGCTCCACCCTGCTGTGAGACGCTCGACTGAAAAGACTGGGCCACATAGAACCCGTAATCGTCATCCGTAACCAGCAGGCCGACCCACGTCCAGCCGAAGTGTTTCAGAATCTGCATCACGGCGTTCACCTGGAAAAAAAAGTTGGAAAAGATGCACAAAGTTCTCCTGTGGTTAAAAATGTGTCTTCAATTAATGGAGGCATTGTGACTCCAAGATGCTGCTCTTTGCTTCGATTTAGTTTCTTCACTCTCTCTGGTGGCAAAAGAAACTTGAGAACAGCCTCAAATTGATATGAACTTTAAGAAAAACGAAAACAAAAACAACCTTTGTCTTGTGAGTAGATGGTGGCTGTTTCAACCTGATTTATCATGAGCTTTTAACTATCTTAAGAAGATCAAGACTCAAGTGACATCTTTGTTTTTCCTGTACTGAGGGATGTGCAGTAGATATCGCACACTACTTAATGCCATATGTATATTTCAAAATAACAGGAAGAGGATGGCTTACTAAAATAAAAGCATCTAAAACACAGAATTTGACAAAATGCTTCAGCTGAAATATTTTATGCTGTGAAGGGGGAGGTGCTGAAAATGTGACATTGGTGAGTTTAACAATAACAAGAAATTCCTACTGTAGCATTTTTCACAAAGTTCAGCTTTTTCCTCACATTTTTAGTTTGAAATGCTACAGCAATAAGCACCGGCACGTTTTCACAAGTGTTTATTTGCTTAAGAAACTGTGTGTTCTTGCAATATATCAGCAAATCCCTTTACAGAATAGATTACCTCACGTTTTGTGCAGAACTAAGCTGCGTCTCACCTGGAAAGCGTCACTCGGGATTGTTCTGAAGAAGGATGGAAACTGCTGACGATCACTCAGGCACGAACATGTGGCAAAATAACTCACCTAGCATTACAATTGCAAACAAACGATACCCTTCAGAACACTGTCAAGAGATTTCACATTCGAAACGGCTGGGACATTTTTAGGCGAATGGAAGGACAGAAGGACAGAGCACACTCACAATTGGTATTTTGAACAAACCGAGCACATTGGCAGTCGCTATTGAAAATGTTGAATAGGAATCGCCAACGATGGCCAGAACTGGAGGAGTCCCTGAACAGTTCTGCTGAGGTGGCATCCCCTCTTCCTGGCCGCTGGCCAGAGATAAGGCTCCGCTGAAACCAATAACAAGCGCACCGCAGTTATCATAAAGGCTGTATCCCAGGGTCAGGTTTGGCAGCAGATCGGGGTTCTTGTTGATCTCCTCAACAGCGAAGGCCATGGTCATGGCATCTCTAAAACCTAGAGTGTCAAAACTGAAACAAAATGTGGCAATAAACGTCCAAAGAAAGGGAAAAATTGCCACATATACTGACGAAGAAGAAAATAAAGACTAATTTTACATACAATTGAACTTATGTTGATTTCTACAAAGTCTGAACTGACAATTTAATTTACACAGAGGGGTTAAAGTCAGCCAGGATGTACTTACCCTTCACAGCTCGGTTGTTCTGGCTCGGAGGTGTATGTGATGTTGGGGAAAAGAGAAGTGTAGTGCACCTCAAACAGCCCACCCAGCACCACGTCACCCGGCGCGTGCATTTCATTGAGGCGGAAACGTCTCCGCAAACTGCAAGGTGAGTCAGTGGATGAGGTCACGGACACGAAACTGAGAGTCAAGAGGAAACGTGTGTAAAGCGAAGCCTCCATAACTCTCCTCCTCCAGCGCACGTTTATGTTGTTCATCTAGGAGGGCATGAATTTATGTGCGATATTACGTCATCACTCTGAAATGCTGGGGACAAAACACGAGTGTGAATTCATTCTTGCTTTCATCAAAAATGTCACAACAGCTGATGTGCAGACCTTTTTAGGATTTTTCTCTTTAGAACGTGTCAAGAAAAATTCCACTAAATTCAGCTGAAAGTAGTCAGAAAATCTATATTTTACTCCTGAACTAAATACCCCGTTTGCACTTTTTCCAAGATTCAACTAAATGTGAAGTGAAGAACACAATGAATCTGACACGATGCAGCACAAATGTATTTATTTTTTTTACTTTTTTTATTTCTATGCACCCCGGACATGGCAAAAAAGACGTATATTTGCACAAAACTTGAAAAACTTGTAAGATCATTTATCACTGAGTAGGTTTTCAAATGGTGTTGCTGGCTGTTCAAGGTAAACAAACAATGGGAGAAATGGTTCAAGCACGATTGCATATGTTTCTTTTTAATTTTAGTTAAAAGAATACCATGATTTATTTTTTATTTTTTTTGGTCAGTTTTTTTTTTACGTGAAACATTTGGGTGAACCCACTGAACATTCTGGCCCTTTTTAACTACTACTATCTTAAAAAGGGCCATAAAGAAAAAATATCAAAATTGTGGTCAAAAAGGCACAGCGTTTATTTTTTTCCTCACAATTTTCATTTATTAGTACAGAAAGTACTTGTACATAACACATCAAATTATATCAACAAATGTTTTTAAGTTTCAGTGAGTTAGTTAGAGGTGAATCTTTGTTAACAGGCCGCAGCGATAACATGAACTGTACATTAGCTGCCGTTTAACATTTTGTAGTTCTATGACCCATGATGGCTTTCTTTGTGTTTCTTTCAGGTCTTAGTAGAATTATGTAACATTTGGGTCCAAACAGCGCCACCAAGAGGCCAAAGCTGGAGGCCAGGATGGCGAACACCTCCACTGCGTCTGCGTATTTGCCCGGGGAGTTGATGTAGGCAGGAACAAAGGCCACCCACACAGCGCAGAAGATCAGCATGCTGAAGGTGATGAGTTTGGCCTCGTTGAAGTTGTCCGGAAGATTTCGTGCCAAAAATGCCAACACACAGCTAAGGATGGCGAGTACACTGATGTAACCCAGTAAAGCGCTGAAACCAATTATGGACCCAACAACACACTCGTAGACGATCTTGTCATTGTGGTACTGGGTGTTTTTATGAGGTACTGGTGACGCAGTGACAATCCATGTGGTACAAATTGCTACCTGAACGCATGTGAGCGCAAAAACCGTTCCTCTTTGCTGCACAGCACCAAACCACTTGAGATTGGCGCCCCCTCCTGGCTTGGAGGCTTTGAACACGGCCAGAACCACCATGGTTCTCACCAGGATGCAGGACACGCAGAGCACAAAGCTGATCCCAAATACAGCATGTCTCAGCTGGCATGTCCACAGTCTGGGTCGTCCGATGAACAGCAACGAACACAGGAAGCACAACTTGAGCGAGACCAGGAGAAGGAAGCTCAGTTCTGAGTTGTTGGCTCGTACAATGGGTGTACTGCGGTGATAGATGAAAATCCCCAGAATGACAGCGCAGATTGACGTTCCCAGCAATGAGGTCACTGTCAGACAGATACCCAGAGGTTCCTGGTACGAGAGGAACTCGGTTTTCTTAGGAATGCAGTGATCTCGCTGTGGGTTGGACCAGAAATCCTCAGGACAGTTAAAGCAGTCCAAGGAGTCTGACAAAAGAGGGGAGAAATAAAAAAAAATAAGCACAAGCATGTTGAGAGTGACTATTGTGTGGCATTTGACCTGCCAAAAGCTTGAATAAATCATTTTCAGCTTTATTGAACCAAAAGATCCAGAAGGAAGAGTAATCAAAGCCGACCAGATGCTAGGAAGATAAAAGGAAAGCAGCCATGTGGTTCAGTCACTAGCAGCATAAGGTTATAAATTCATCAACTTTTCAAAGCGCCACAAAACAACAAACCATGAAAAATGATACCAACCATTTTCGTTGCTGACCTTTCCTTCAGAGCACGGGACACAATAAAAACAGCACAAAGGCTCTCCTTTCCTCCTCACCATATGTGTTCCTGGGGGGCAGCTGTCACTGCACACAGACCTGGGCGGCTGAGAAATTTAAACATGAAGTCTTTCAATTTCCCTCAATGCGAGCGTCCGACTCTGTCCTTAAGCAAAAAGTCAAAATGCCTACTTTTTTAGATTCAAAGTTCCAGAAGACTTTGGCTTCATCAATTGTGAGCTCCTCCTCTTTGGACGCAGACCTCTGAACGTTCCCCACACTCTGAACTTTAATTCTTCCATCGGGCAGCCAAACCCAGTTCATGACGTCGTATATTGGCAACGCGTCGCCGTTTTCGTCGAACGTAACTTGGTCGCCAAACGGTGTGGTGAAGTTGACCCGTCCTAGGTAGTGCGTTAGCTGCAAACAAAAACAGAGACATATTCGATTTGATGAGCAATCATTGTTGCTTCCATTCATAATTATCACCAAAGCAAAACTCAAGTGATTTCCTTTCAAAAATGGTTTTAGTTACATCTCACATTAAATGCTTGCTTATATATTATCTTGGGATGATGTTAATATTTTAAATGTTGATAACTCCTGATGTCATTTTTTTTTTCATATAGGCCACAAGATGGCACATTGAAATGAATACAAATTAAAATGAGCCCATTGTAGGAATATCACCCAGATCTAAAGTTTATAATTTGAAAGATGTGGCTCTGCTCAAATTTTTTTGTTAGCATTCGTTATATTTGTATTTTAAGCCAGAGAAATTATAATTATTGATGTTGTTGATTGACTGCACACCTGCCAGAGCTCTAACGTTTGCAAAGACGCACATCTGCTCCCGCTGAAAGGCCCTCGCCCCGGGACGCAGCTCAGCATGTCAGTAAGAGCGTGTGCCAGCGCGTACACAGCTTTGTAAATGTTATACTCGGGCCTGAGTTCTGACACATTCAGCAGGTCAGTGGTCACACTGTTCAGGTCTTCTCGCCCGGTGCATCGCGCTCCAGCATCTTCTGCAGAACCAGCTGGCGGCAGCGGAAACCTGCACTGAAACGTGTGCTCCCAAAACTGCTTCACCTGAAATGAAGGCATAGATTTGTTTTGAAAAAAATATATTCAACCCACCATTTTTTTTTTTGTACACAGTTTGCACACGGTCTGACTGAGTCGAGCTCTCACCATGCTGTTTGCAGAGATGTTGCTGTGCTGGTCGGGATGAATTCTCAGCAGGAAGTCTCTGAGTCCTGGGATTTCTCCGCGGCGGATAGCGATGCCCAGAGTTCCACCAAGAAACGGCGAGAAAGCAGGGATTTGGAGTCCTTCGAGTAAAGTCCAGGCCTCGCTGGCAATCCACTGCAGCCCTGTCACATTCTGCTTCACCACCTGAGTATCACAATATACATATATATATATATATTTTTTTTTTTACAATTTTGAAAAACAAACAAAAAAAATAGTCTATTCTGTGCACTATTTGTATTGATTGTTCGAATTGTTATGAAGTTTTCCTTCCTGTTAATTTTTTTTTTTAATGCAACTTTGCAGTTATTGCATACTATTAAAAAACTCTATATTTATAAAGGATTACAGTATTTTTAATTTTTCCTTAAAACCAAAGAGTAGTTTGTTTCTTTTAAGCCAAAAGCAAATACAAAAATCAGATTTGCAAATCTGGTCACTTTGAAATTTGATATAAAATTTCACAGAATAAAATGCAAGTCAGTTTTTCCATTAAAAAAATAAATAAATAAAATAAACCTTTTTGATATGGGTTCTGACTCTGACAAATCTGTTTTCTCCAACCTGTTCCATGAGTTGGATCATGTGCATCTGATGTGCAAACACAATCACTACGCGCGCCGTGGACTTTGTCATGACGTCGACAATCCTTTTATATTCCCTCGGATTGTCTCCCCACGGTAAAACCTCCGTGTACGCCAGACAGCCGCCGCCCGACCGAGTCAGGTCGGTTTGGAACGATCTGGAAACATGAAGGCCATAGTCATCGTCACTGACCAGGAGGCCCGCCCAAGTCCAGCCAAAGTGCTTCAGGATCTGAATCATGGCACGGACCTGATGAAGAAAGTGTAGACGTGTTCACTGTGAGGCCCAATTCCAGAAACAGCTTTAACATCCATGAACACATTTAAAGCTCACCTGGAAAGCATCACTTGGGATTGACCTGAAGAAAGATGGGAAACGCTGGCGGTCGCTCAGGCAAGAGCACGTGGCAAAATAACTCACCTATAAGAAAAAAATAAGTACAAGAAGTTGGCATTTTGCTTATTTTGTGGAAAAAATCTTGGTAATTCTTGCAACTGACTGAAATATTCTGGTGGCTTTTCCAAAGGGCAAACTTACCATAGGCAGCCTGTACAAACCTAAAACGTTTGAGGCAGCTATAGAAAATGTGGAAAAAGGATCACCAACAATTCCCACAACCGGAGGGGTTCCTGAACAGCTCTCTTGAATGGAAAACCGCTCCTCCTGCCCACTGGCCAGTGCCAAGGCAGCGCTGAACCCAACGCTAAGAGTGGCACAGTTGTCATAAAGACTGTATCCCAAAGTCACATTAGGCAGCAAACTGGGGTTCTTATTAATCTCCTCAACAGCAAAAGCCATAGTCATTGCATGTCTGAACCCGAGAGTATCAAACCTAAAAGAAGAAGAAGAAGCATGTCGTCAAAACTGATACTGTGGAAATGTGTGCGTGTTGTCAGGATTCTCACCCCTGGCAGCTGGGCTGATGTGGCGCTGAGGTGAAGGTCTGCTCGGGAAAGACGGAGCTGTAGTGGACCTCAAACAGCCCTCCCAGGATCACGTCGCCGGGCTTGTGCAGACCATTGAGGTAAAACGTTCTCAGTAGCTTACAGGGCGAGGAAAGAAAGGAGGACTCCGAGAAGAAAAAGGAGGAATAAATCATGAACTGGTAGACGTTCATGAGGAAATATCTAACAAACAAAGCCACCATAACTGCCCCTGCACACCTGCCAGCCTGCAAGAGTCATAGCTAGATTTATATAGAGGACTGCTGCAGAAATTTCCTTTCTTTGTGCAATTATTCACGCCACCCATCAGAGTATTGTTGTGGTCTCATGGGCGGCCTGTAGGGATGTAATGCTTTCTGCGTCATTATTTAGTTATGAAAGTAACAAACCAGCAAATTATTAATTGTAACGTTTGTGTCCGGCATTTGGAAATGCAAAGTTGGAGCATATTTATTTTTTAACATAAGAAACAGTCAATTTAAAACAGTTTATTAATTAATTATTTGCAGCTTCAACAACACACATGTAACACACATTATTTGCCATTACTAGTCATGACTTTCTTGTTGTTGAAGAAAGGTGGTTTATTGTTGTTGGAAAATGTCACTATCTACTTGAACTGATTTGCCTGTGAAGCCTTTGAAATTGGAGAGAGGGGAAATTAACTATCTGAAAAATAATTGCAAATTATTGCAAAATGTGTCAAAACATAGACAATATTTAATGACCTCGTGGATACCCCCACAGATATTAAAATCTCAAGAAAAAAAAAAGGACAGATGATGTCATGATTTTGCTTCTACTATATTTCTGATGCGTCTTTTGAGTGGCTGACTTTGAGAAAATAAGAACTAAACTAATAATCTCAAGGTTTTGCAGTTCCTCGACTCATGATGGCTTTCTTGGTGTTTCTTTCTGGTCTCAGCAAGATTACATAACATTTAGGTCCAAACAGCGCCACCAAGAGGCCAAAGCTGGAGGCCAGGATGGCGAACACCTCCACTGCGTCTGCATATTTTCCAGGAGAGTTGATGTAGGCAGGAACGAAGGCCACCCACACGGCACAGAAGATCAGCATGCTGAAGGTGATGAGTTTGGCCTCGTTGAAGTTGTCCGGTAGATTCCTCCCCAGGAATGCTAACAGGAAACTGATGATTGCCAATAAGCCAATATACCCCAACAACACAGCAAAACCAAGTGTGGACCTAACGACACACTCATAAACGATCTTGTCATTGTGGTACTGAGTGTTTTTATGAGGTGCTGGTGATGCAGTGCCAATCCACACCGTGCAAATTGCCGCTTGAACGCATGTGAGCGCAAAAACCGTTCCTCTTTGTTGCACAGCACCAAACCACTTGAGATTGGCTCCCCCTCCTGGCTTGGAGGCTTTGAACACGGCCAGAACCACCATGGTTTTGACCAGGATGCAGGACACGCAGAGCACAAAGCTGATCCCAAACGCTGCGTGTCTCAGCTGGCATGTCCACAGTCTTGGCCGTCCGATGAACAGCAGCGAACACAGGAAGCACAACTTGAGCGACACCAAAATCAGAAAGCTCAGCTCTGAATTGTTTGCGCGCACCACGGGAGTGCTGCGGTGATGGGTGAAGATCCCTAAAACCGCAGAGCAGATGCATGTTCCCAGCAATGACGCTGTGGTCAAGCAGACACCCAGAGGCTCATGGTAGGAGAGGAACTCTGTTGTCTTAAGAATGCAGTGATCACGGCGGGGGCTTGACCAGAAATCCTCTGGACAGCTGAAGCACTCAACAGAGTCTGAGAACAAAAAAACCAACAGATTCATTAACACACCACAATTTGAGGAGTTGGTGTTTAGCTTAAATATAAAACCTTTTGGGAACCTCAAGTGACATAAACGTCTTGTCAGTTTTCTTTCTACTCTCTCAAAGTGTTCATGTCAGCTATAAAGGGACGATTCACTCATATAAATGTAATTGTGACCATGATACTAACTTGTTTTGTTGCTAATCTTTCCTTCAGAGCAAGGAACACAATCAAAACAGCACACAGGTTGGCCCTTCTTCCTCGCCATGCGAGTCCCGGGATTACAGGTGTCACTGCACACCGACCGAGGAGGCTGCACACACACACACACACACACACACACACACGCACGCACGCACGCACGCACGCACGCACGCACGCACGCACGCACGCACGCACGCACGCACGCGCACACACACGCACACACACGTACACACACACACACACACACACACACACACACACACACGCACACACACGCACACACGTACACACACACACACACACACACACACGCACACACACACACACACACACACACACAAATAACATAATCAGATTTCTTCTAGCTCACTTGTAAGCAGCATGTCAAATAGAATAAATGAAGGCGACCTGATTATTGTTGAAGTTCCAGAAGATTTTTTCTTCATTAAGAATGAGTTCTTCATCACCAGAAGCTGTCTTCTTAACAACGCCCACATTCAGTACTTGAACTCCACCATCAGGGCGCCACAGCCAGTTCATGATGTCGTATATCGGCAGAGCATCACCGTTCTCATCAAATGACACTTGATCCCCAAAGGGAATGGTAAAGTTGACTTTTTCCAAGTAATGCATTAGCTGGAAATATGAAGAGATCAACATTGTGACAAGAAATCAGGCTTAGTTTCCAAATTCTGACATCACCGTTTACAAGCTAACAAATGCTCGAATATAGAAAACTTTCAGTAAAATCAAAACCACCTGGTATTTAGGTTGCGTATAAATCCTAAGACAACACAATCTGATGAAAGTACTCATGGTTTAGTGAAAACTGATGCCCTACCTGCCAAGCCTCCAGTTTTTGCAGAGAGGCACAGCTGTGCCCGCTGAAAGGGCCTCTCCCCGACTGACACTGCAGCATGTCATCGAGGGCGTGAGCCAGAGCATACACGGCCTTGTAAATGTTATATTCAGGCCTGAGGTTAGAAACATCCAGAAACTCAGTCTGTGCACTCTCCAAATCTTCTTCACCGGAGCATAATGCTCCCCCAGCTTCTAGCCAGTCTGCTGGAGGGGGAGCAAATCTACACTGAAACGTGTGTTCCCAAAACTGCCTCATCTGGAAAGTTTTATGTATGAAAAAAAAAAAAAAACCTTGCTTGACAAAAGACAGACAGCAATGCATTCCAGTGCAGTTATAGGTCAAAGTTGAATCTCACCATGGTGTTCTGATTGTTGCTGCTATTCCCAGGCCGTGTGCTCAGGAGGAAATCTCTAAGTCCTAAAATGTCTCCTCGACGGATTGCGATGCCCAGCGTGCCACTCAGGTACGGCATGAGACGGGGGGTCTGGAGCACAGCCGCTGATGCCCAGGCTTCACTCGCCATCCACTGGAGCCCTGTCACGTTCTGCTTCACGACCTGCACAGTGTGTTTTGCGGGGATAATGCTATTATGCAGCACATTTGGCCTCTAAAACAAGAAGTGATGAACACATAAGATGGAGGGATACCTCTTCCATCAGCTGAATCATATTGATCTGATGGGCAAACACGATAACCACACGAGCTGTGGACTTTTTCATTTCTTCCACGATTCTCCGTAGCTCAGATGGGTTTTCACCCCACGGTAAAATCTCAGTATATGCAAGACAACCCAGCCCAGATTGAGTCAACTCCGACTGGAAGGACTGGGCAACATGGAGCCCGTAGTCGTCGTCACTAACCAGCAGACCAGCCCACATCCAGCCAAAACGTTTTAAAATCTGAATCATTGCATGCACCTAAGAGGACACGCTTTGTGAGATACCATTGTTTTCCTGTTCTCATATAATCATAGTTGTACTTCAATGATCATGCCTGAATCTATGCAGTATGAGATTAATGTAATTTCATCTGTGTGTCATCTCATTTAAAAATCAGTCACACCTGAAAAGTGTCACTCGGGATTGTCCTGAAAAAGGACGGAAACCTTTGGCGATCACTTAGGCAAGAACACGTGGCGAAGTAACTCACCTAAAAGAGACAAGCAAGTTCAATTCTCATTACGTAGAAAACCTGAAACTAAGATATAATACATGTAATACACATTATAAGCGAAGCAGAAGTCCAGAAAGAAAACTTACGATGGGAAGTCTGAATAAGCCTATCACATCGGACGTGGCGATGGAAAACGTTGAAAAAGAATCGCCGACTATGCCGAGGACTGGAGGGCCTCCTGAACATTTCTCCTGAGGAAGAAACTCTCCCTCTTGACCACTGGCCAGTGACAAAGCCGCACTGAATCCAATTACCAATGTGGCACAGTTGTCATAAAGGCTATATCCCAAAGTCACATTGGGAAGCAGAGTTGGGTTTTTGTTAATCTCCTCAATGGCAAATGCCATGGTCATGGCATGTCTGAACCCTGGGGGGTCAAAGCTTACACATAGAATGCTACATGAAAACACGAGAAGGAAACACAGTGTGTGAACAAGCCACAGTGAGTGTGAAGCTTACCCTTGGCAGATGTGCTCACTTGGCTCTGAGGTGAACGTCAGCTCAGGGAACACAGAGGTGTAGTGAACCTCGAAAAGTCCACCCAGAATCACATCACCGGATTTGTGCATGCCATTAAGATGAAACCGTCTTCTCAGTGTGCAAGATGGTAAAATGGATAAAGCTTGTGAATAATCAAAGTCGAAGAACAACATCGATATGACAAACAAGGGCATTAATGACTTCATTGGCCCTTCCATGATTACATATTCTCCTTAGACCAGTGCTTTTTACTTCCTTGAACAGACATTTTATGTGCATCGTCCTCTCCCTTGATGGCTTTCATCATAATAGGAGGAGGTTCCAGAAGAGAACTCATTGAGTTTTCCAATACATTAAGATTTAAGTTATTGACTTTTGTTGAGCAATTGCTTATTTTTGGTTCCATTCTTAAAACTCAACATACAGATCAACAGTTGTTGGTATGAATTAGAAGATGAAGAAAACTCAGCTTCACATAAAGTGAAACATACCGCCACATTCAATAAATTACAATAGTATTGAAAATTTCCTTTTTTTTTTTTAGCTGTTTTCAGATGTTTATTGACCTTGAGTGACAAAGTGTATGTGGTGCTTTATGACCTGCACAGTGTGTGAACAAGCCTCTCAACATGGCGACTGCCATAAACATTATTCGCTTTTCATAAGCAAACACCACTTTTAATTTGTTCAGTGCATGGCTGAAGTTATTACACATATCCATTTCAGATGAATGCTTACAAGTGTGTCTTGTAAAATAAACATATTTCTATCAGAGCTTACCGCTGTTTATGCAAGAAGCAGTCAAGTTGAAATACAAAGTTGACCTGGCAAGTCTTAACTGGGGGAAGTCAGAGTTGCTCCCAGTTGATTTCTCTGACTGGGACGTTAACATTTTCCAGTTCTGAAGACAACTAATGCAACATAACACCACATGAAGACTTAAAAGAGACTGTTTAGAATAGCAAAACTCTTCCTCAAGTCCAATTTATGCAGTTTTAGTCTTGAAATCCCAAAACACTAAATCATTGCCCTAAATAATAGAAGATTTATTTAATGAAATGGTACTTTCTTTTCAGTTGTTCAAATTCAATTTTACTATTAAGTTGATTCCATTTTGTCAATAAATTTTGAATATTGAAGTGTTTTGTCCATGTATAGTTTCTTGCTGCTTGAAGAACACAGACAGTGGATTTAACCTTCCATCTGTTGTTATTTTAATACCTCAGTGTTGTCAGGCAGACGTGGGTAAACAATACACGAGACTGATATGTCTTGGGACCAAAACTTGGGAAATTTATCTGAATGACAAATTTTCAGAATTGTTTGTTGTGCAACAATGGGTTTAGTTTATTCTGAATATGTGATTTTTTTTGGCATTATGAAAAAGATAAAAAGAGACCCAGTACAAAGTCCTCAACATGGAACTGACATTTTCAATTTTGTCCCTGCAGTAAAACCACAGAACTGTAACATTTTAAGCGATAAAATGTGAAATTTTAATGGGTATTTCTTGCTGAAAGATGGCTTTCTGTTTCCCTAGATTTTTGAAATGTTACTCATGTCCACTAGATGGCAGCATTGGAGTTAAACTTTGAACAGATGTCTACATCCTGTCTGCAGATGTCAGTCAACAAAGTGTTGACTTCAACATCACATTGTGTACTTTCAGCCAGGTTGAAACTTATTGCATTACATATTTAGACTTGCAAAAGCCATAAATAAATAAATAAATACATAAATAAAGTCAGCATTCAATGGTCTGCTGATGAAAGACTTTTTCATGAGATTATTCAACCATGATTGTAATGCAATCTGTGCCTTTTTGGTCATATTCACATTGCGAACTCACCTGTAACTTTTTATTTCGACTTCGCTGTTTGTCATGTATGAATACACGGTTTGAAAACAATCAATGACATGTAATCTAATGTGAATGATTTTTAACAAAATAATGTGAGCATGGTGTTACTGTATCAAATTAAAGAGCGGATGTGTAAAGACGTTGTTGGCCAGGCCCCAGCCAGATCTAAAATGTAAGACAAATCAAAGGCCAGTGGGTGACGGCGTCTTCTCTCTGAAGTATGACGATGTTTCAGAGGGGAGCTATAAAAACTGCCTCAGCAAACTCACACCCAAACTTAGACGCGGATGGAGATCTCATTGTTGCTTGTGAGCCTCAGACTGGCTCTGGGTTTGTCCGAGGGTGGATCCGCCCGGGTCAGAGCCCTGGATGCGCCCATAAAATGTAGCCTGCAGGGTTCAAATCGTCTGCCTGCGTTCACAATGGATGGGGACTTCGTTGTTGGAGGTGCTTTTTCAATTCACTACAAGGAGCTCACGAGGACTCACAACTACACCACTGTGCCTGAACCACCTCGCTGTGCCAGGGGGTTAGTGAAAATGAGAAGCGTTGGGGAAAAAAGGGAAGGGAATGGTCTTCTGTGTCAGAACAAATATGTGTTTCGAACAATGCTGTTCATTGTTGCAAAGTTGTTATGTTGTCTACAGTATGCCATGAATGTTTTTTATTAGTTGTTCTAATTATTAGTTATAAGAATTTAAAGTTTAGTAACTTATTTGCCCATGTCTTTATATGATTACCCAATTTATTTTTACTTTAGAGGTTTAAAATATTATGCAGATAAGCAGCAATTTTATTTGTTCAAACAACTCCTTATGCATGATATGTATGAATATCAACCCTTTTGTAGAGTTGATATTCAACTGCTGGTAAACTTTGACTCTATCTGAGATTCAACAATGAACGTAAATGTAACGTAAATGTCTGAAATGCCTCTGTTCAGCATCAACAGTCGAGAACTGCGCTTCTCTCGCACAATGATCTTTGCAATCGAGGAGATTAACAACAGCACAGAGCTGCTGCCGGGAGTCAAACTCGGTTATCAGATCCACGATTCGTGCGCCTCTGTGCCCATGGCCATGCACGCAGCATTTCATCTGTCAAATGGGCAAGATACTGTGTTTGAGACAGGACGCAATTGTTCTTTGTCTGGTGTAGTAATGGCTGTTGTTGGTGAATCTGGTTCCACCCCATCCATTAGTATGTCTCGTATTTTGGGGCCCTTCAACATGCCTCTGGTAAGCAGACCTTTTTAAATGTATCAACTTCATCTCAAATGCTTAAAAAGGGTTAACACTGGCTTTCCTTGTGATAGGTGAGCCACTTTGCCACTTGTGCCTGCCTGTCAGATAAAGATCAGTACCCAACATTTTTCAGGACGATCCCCAGTGACCAGTTTCAAGCTGATGCTCTGGCCAAGCTGGTGAAACACTTTGGTTGGACGTGGATAGGAGCCGTCCACTCAGATTCGGATTATGGAAATAATGGCATGGCCTCTTTTCTAGAAGTAGCACTCAGAGAGGGGATCTGTGTGGAGTACATTGAGTCTTTCTATCGGACCGATCCAACCAGCAAGATTCAAGGAGTAGCTGATGCCGTCCGCAGGTCTCAGTATTTTTTAGCACTTGCTGTATGTTTTGTTTGAATGATGACTCTTTTTACAGATAGTAAAAAAAAGATATGAAGTGAAATATGATGAATATAAAATCTTTTTTTTTTTCTTCCTTCAGATCCACAGCGGTGGTTGTTGTCGCATTTGCAGCTGCTGGCGATATGAAATTTCTCTTAGAGGAGCTGGCCCGAAATCCTCCTCCACCCCGTCAGTGGATCGGGAGTGAGTCCTGGGTAACAGACCCACTCTTGATGAGCTTCAGTTTCTGTGCTGGAGCCATCGGAGTTGCCATTCAGCAATCTGTCATCCCAGGTCTGAGAGACTTCCTCCTGGATCTCTCTCCCTCTGCAGTGTCTGCTTCACCAGTTCTTACTGAATTCTGGGAGGATGCATTCAACTGTAGCCTGACAAAAAGTGAGAATTTAACCATCATTATCAAGATATAAACATGTTTGGTTGCATCAGAAACCAAAACATGTAACATGTATGTACTTATCTTAACAAATACTTTAACAAATAATATGTGCAATGAATTTAATCGGGATTTGAGTTAATGTTCAAAGCCCTTTTCCTGTTTGCCCATTGACCTTTTACATTTTTAATTAAGGAATCCAAACTTTACTAAGAACTGAAGACTATGACAAGTTTTAGTACTATCAATTACCAGTTGTTGTGTTATTGTATGTACACTATAATTTTATCATTTTGACTGTGTACATGGAAACAATAATTATTTCCAGTTGTTACTTAGTTTAGAGTCATATTACCTTGTGTGGCATGTTGTGCAAAAACATCAAACAGAAGAAAATTAGGAATTTCTTTCACAATAACTACTTTTGGCTGCGTTTTTAGGTGCAAAGGGCAAACTTTGTGATGGAACCGAAGACCTAAAATCTCTAAATAATCTCTATACTGAAACGTCCAAGTACAGAATCACCAACATGGTGTACAAAGCTGTTTATGCCACAGCACATGCTATTCACAATGCAATTTGTCAGGACAAAAAGTCATCCGCTCAGTGTGACAAACACGTTAGACTGGAGCCCAAACAGGTCAGTTTAAATTCAGACCAAATCCCACTAACATTTCATTTGAAAGCTTTTGATATGGCAGGTACTAACATCGTTGTGACTTCTCATAGATTCATTTTTCTCGCTGTTCTTTTCTTGAATCACAGATTTTCACTGAATTAAAGAAAGTCAACTTTTCCCAGAATGGCTATCATGTATCATTTGATGCTAAAGGAGATCCTCTAGCCTTTTATGAGCTGGTAAACTGGCAGAAGACTGAGAGTGGAGTCAATGAGCTGATAACTGTGGGATACTATGATGCATCACTGCCTAAAGACCAGGAGTTTCACATTTACAAGAATGTAACCTGGGTGGAAGGAAGAGTGCAAGTAATGGGTCAAGAAAAAATACTTCTATAGATGTGAAAGGAGTGATTTGAGTCACATTTCCATTCTAACATCAGTTATTTGTTTTTCCTTGTCTCCTTGTCTGGAAGGTTCCAGTGTCAGTGTGTTCAGAGAGTTGTCCTCCAGGAACTCGTAAAGTGTTGCAGAAAGGAAAACCAATCTGCTGCTATGACTGTATACCATGTCCTGAAGGAGAGATCAGTAACATGACAGGTAAAATCTCATGACTTTAATATTTACAAACATCTTGATATTCATTTGTTCTACAAACTCTTCTTTTATTCATAGATGCTCCAGATTGCATTCCATGCCCAAGTGAATTCTGGCCAAATTCAGTCAACACTGCTTGTTTCCCAAAAGCTGTGGAGTTCCTATCTTTTGATGAGGTGCTGGGAATCATTCTAGAAATATTCTCTGTTGGTGGAGCCTGTCTGGCCATCATGACAGCAGTGATTTTCTACCATCACAGAACAACTCCCATTGTTAGAGCCAACAACTCTGAGCTGAGCTTCCTGCTGCTCTTCTCTCTGACTCTGTGTTTCTTATGTTCATTAACTTTCATTGGAGCCCCCTCTGAGTGGTCCTGCATGCTGCGCCACACAGCGTTTGGCATCACATTTGTTCTCTGTATCTCCTGTGTTCTTGGCAAAACTATAGTGGTTCTAATGGCCTTTAAAGCTACACTTCCTGGTAGTAATGCTATGAAATGGTTTGGTCCAACACAACAAAGAATGACTGTAGTATCTTTTACATTTGTTCAAGTTATAATATGTATCATCTGGTTGGCTGTGAGTCCTCCCTTCCCAGTGAAAAATCTGACCACCTACAAGGAGAAGATCATCCTGGAATGTGCTTTAGGCTCTGCTGTTGGTTTCTGGGCTGTGCTCGGCTACATCGGCCTGCTGGCTGTGTTTTGCTTTGTGTTAGCTGTTCTAGCTCGGAAACTACCTGATAATTTCAACGAAGCCAAGATGATAACCTTCAGCATGTTGATATTCTGTGCCGTCTGGATCACCTTCATCCCAGCTTATGTCAGCTCTCCTGGAAAATTTACTGTGGCTGTGGAGATATTTGCTATTCTGGCCTCCAGTTTTGGACTCATACTGTGTATATTTGCTCCAAAGTGTTTCATCATTTTGTTTCAGCCAGAGAAAAACACCAAGAAACATTTAATGAACAAAAATTGATATGTCATTGTCAATGATTTGGACACAATTTTGTGTCTTTTTAATGGAAAATCCAATCGCCTCAGGCTGATTACTTCTTTGACCTTTTTGAATATTTGCTATTAATACTAATTATTACGGCTCCTCTTTTTCAGATTGCACTTAATCTTTAAAGATCTTAATTTTTGTGACTTAGTGAAATACTTTCTATCTGCTTAAAATAAAATGCTACACTCCAGAAACTCAGATGTTTTCTGCATATTTGTTTGCTGATACCTTTTCTATGATACTCCTGGGGATAACATCACAGACACTGGTGTAAAATAGAAATTGTTTTGTGCCCTTTCACACCTTTACAGACACATGGTTAATACCTTAACTCTGCATGTGCTTTTTGGATTTTCTATGTTTTGACATGTTTGTCACACTGAATAAATGCTTAGAAGAGATAAATGTGTGGATGTGCCAAATCGTTCTCCAAATGAACAAAAACAAAATTGAAGTTATTATTTTTGGACCTAAAGAGGAACGATCTAGAGTTATCAATCTAGAGTCAATGGACAGCCTCAGTTATTACAACTAAAACCTATCGATCGGCCCGAAATCTGGGAGTAGAGATGGGCTCTGACCTGAACCTCCAGAGTCACATAAAGACAGTAACAAATCGGCCTTCTATCACCTGAAGAACATCTCCAGGATTAGAGGACTAATGTCTCAGCCAGATCTAGAGAAACTCATCCATGCGTTTATCTTTAGTCGCATTGATTATTGTAACAGCATCTCACAGGTCTGTCCAACAAGTCAATCAAACAGCTGCAGCTGATCCAGAAGCTGCTGCTCGCGTTCTCACTAGAACCAGGAAGATAGAGCACATAACATCAGTTTTAAAGTCCCTCCACTGGCTCCCTGTAGCTCAAAGAATAGATTTTAAAATACTGTTGTTAGTTTACAAATCACTGAACGGTTTAGCACCACAATACATCAAAGATCTACTGTTGTTGCTGTATCAACCTTCCCGACCTCTCAGGTCTTCTGGTTCTGGTCTGCTCTGCATCCCCAGAACCAGAACCAAGAGAGGAGAAGCAGCTTTCAGCATCTATGCACCAACAATTTGGAACAAACTTCCAGAAAACTGCAAAACAGCTGAAACACTGAGTTCCTTCAAATCTCGACTAAAAACCCACCTGTTTAGAGTCGGATTTGAAACATAATCAATTACAGATTTAATGATGGAACTTTATGTCATGTTCTGATTGTTGATTCTATGTTGCATGACTTTGTGTTTTTGTGCTTGTTTTGATGCAAAGCACTCCATAATGCCTTTCTGCTGAAATGTGCTGTACAAATGAAACTTGATTGATTGATTAATTGATTGATTGAAAAAGTCAATCAACGAAGATATTTCAGCTTGTTAAACTAGGTCACACATGTGTGTGGATCACGTTGGGTGTAATTTCAAAAGTTCAACAATGATCTCATTTGACCAAAGCAACATCTTCAGGCCTTCCGAAAAACTGCAAAAAGGACTTCTTGTGGTTTGTCAATGGCGTCCTTCTTGCCACTTCCATAAAGACCATAATGGTTGTCCTGTGAACAGACTCCCCCACCTGAGCAGTAGATCTCTGCATTTGGTTCAGAGTCACCGTGGATGCTTCTCTGATCATCCTTGTTTGGCCTGTAAGTTTCGGTGGACAGCCTGTCTCAGTGGGTTTACAGTTGTGCTGTACTCTTTCCATGACTGATGGAACAGGTCCAAGGTTTGGGAATTTCTTTTTAGAGTGTAAGCTTGTTTTAAACATCTCCACCGCTTTCTCCCTGACCGGACTGATGTGTTCCTTGGTCTTCATGGTGCTGCTTGCACCCCAATATTCTCTTAGCCAACCTCTGAGGCCATCACAGAGCAGCTGGGTTTGTCCTGAGATTAGATTACACACAGGTGGACGCTATTTAGACTCAAGCAATCATCAGCAGTCATCATCAACTTCTGAAAACAACTGGTTGTAATCAAAAAAAAAGGCGAAGAATTCTTTTGCACACACCACTTTTCAGACATTTCAGGATTTTGTTTGTAAAAAAACATTTGAATCATGCTTAAATTTCTTTCTACTTCACATAAATTCCAATAAAAACAATTCCAAGAAAAGCATTGTGGTTGTTAAACTTGACAAAAACGCTGTTGTCCGCAAAAAGCCAAACTATTAAAGAGTTATAATTGGTTAAGCCTAGTCGTAGCAAATCAAAGGATGTATTTTTATGACATTCTGGGATGTTGTTTTTTTGCACACAGCAGATCTAATAAGAACCTGTCCTCAATTCTGCTACAACTGCACATATAAGTGATCGTGCGCCCCTTAGTGGTGCCGATTGAAATTCTGCAACTTTATCATAAAGAGGAGTTTGAGTCTTACATGGGTTGCAACAACAGGCATGATGCTGCTTTCAAAATCCATGGATGGTAAGAACAAATCAGACAGCTAGATGATGTAATCTATGCGATGCAATGATGACGTTTTGGAGGAGAGTTAAGTGAAGCAGTAGCAGCACTCACATCCAGCTTTAGAGACTTAAGAGATGGAGATCTCACTTCTCCTTATTGGCTTGAGAGTGGTTCTGGGTATATGTGTTGTTTTAGTTGCTGCTTTTGGTGCATCAGATAGTGTCAAAAATGGGGCTTTGACTATTAGCTGTACTCATCAGGGTGCAGCTCGTGTACCTGCATTCTCAATGGATGGGGAGTTTATTATTGGTGGGGTTTTTGCGATCCACTACAAGGGGATCACAAAGATTCACAGCTACACCACTATGCCTGAGCCGCCCACCTGCACAGGGAGGTTGGTAAGAGGGAGTATGGGATATGAAGAGACTGTTTTGCTGAAACGGTTTTTATTTGCATGCTGCAAAGTGCAATGATTTATTTAACAGTTTTCTTTATGTTGTTGTTTTTTCTTTTCTTTTTTTTTTGAAATTATGCCTGACCTGAAAATAAATTTCAACAGAAAAAATGTCCATTTATATGTTAGTGAAGTTGTGTCGATGACACAACTTCAACTTCTGAGGTCCATAGAAAGGGGCAGAAGTGATAAGAAACAAGTTTATTAGTAGATGATACTCTTTAGTTTATGGTATTGTCTGGTTCATGAAAATGTAAAGAGATTTTAGTCACAAAACAAAAAAAAATCAGTAACATGTAAATGTCTGTGTGCAGTATCAACAGTTGTGAACTGCGCTTCGGTCGTGCGATGATCTTTGCGATTGAGGATAAACAACAGCACAGATCTGCTGCCTGGGATTAAACTCGGGTATAAGATCTACGATACATGTGGCTCTGTGACTGTGGCCACTCATGTGGCATTTCAGCTGTCAAACGGCGAGGACCCCGTGATTCAGACAGGACATAATTGTTCTCAGTCGGGTCTGGTAATGGGTGTTATTGGTGACTCTGGATCCACACAATCCATCGGCATTTCACGCATCTTTGGTCTCTTCAATATACCTTTGGTAAATTATTTTAAATCTTTAAAAGCTGTAAAAATATATGTTTTAATGTACATTTGTGAAAAAGAAAAAAATTTTTTGTTTGTTTTTCTTGTTTTAGGTGAGCCTTCTCCACTTGTGCCTGCCTGTCAGATAAGCAGCAGTTTCCAACTTTCTTCAGAACGATTCCCGGTGACCATTACCAAGCCGATGCACTGGCCAAACTGGTGAAACATTTTGGCTGGACTTGGATAGGAACAATCTATTCAGACTCAGATTATGGAAGAAATGGCATGGCCTTTCCTTGAAGCGGCACACAGAGAAGGGATCTGTGTGGAGTACACTGAAGGTTTCCATCGAACTGACCCACACAAGATTCAGATAGTAGCAGATGTCATCCGCAGGTTTGAGCCTCTTCTATCTTTTAATGTTAAAAAGATGTAGACTGTTTTTACCAAGCACTGAAAAAAACATGTTTAAAACATTTAAACACTGATTTCAAACAAGCTTAACTGAGAAAAGCTTTATACATTGTTTTCCCCTTTAGGTCAACTTCGGTCGCTGTGGTGGCATTTACAGCCTCTGGTGACATGAAATTCCTGTTAGAGGAGTTAAACCAACAACCTTCTCCTCCTCGTCAGTGGATTGGAAGTGAGGGCTGGATAACAGACATTCAGCTGATGAGATTCAGTTTCTGTGCAGGAGCCATTGGAGTTGCTATCCAACAATCTGTCATCCCAGGATTTGGGGACTTCCTGCTGGGTCTCTCTCCCTCTGAAGTTGCCGCCTCCTCCGTCCTCACAGACTTCTGGGAGGAAACGTTCAACTGCAGCCTGACGAATAGTGAGATACGAACATGATCGATTCCCAATTATCTTTAGATTTTGTTTTTAAATGATCTGATATTTTATGCAGAAATGAATATATGTTCTTTGTTGATATTCAAAATTAATTCTGTTACAATATATATTGTATGATTTGCACTAAAAAGTAATTTTCATTTCCATTTTATACATTACACTTTACTGTGTGTAACTGAGCTGAAATTCTTAAAAATTTATCATGTAAAAATGTACGACAGCACTTTATTCTTTTTTTTCTCCTTTCTCAGATACATCTGGAAAAAAGAGGCTTTGTGATGGAACTGAAGACTTAATGACTCTCAAGATCCCGTACACTGAAACGTCTAATTTCAGAATCGACAACATGGTGTACAAGGCTGTTTATGCCATAGCACATGCTATTCACAATGCGCTATGTCAGGGAACTAATTTCACTAATACCTGTAAGAAACAAAAAACCTTTGACATAAATCAGGTGGGATTGAATAAAGGCTAAATATATTCTCTTGATATAAATAAATATTTTTTTTTTTTAGTTTAGTATTGTTGAAATTTTCTTTGCTCTCTTCTATTAATTATTCACCATTCGTCTTTCCAGGTTTTTACGGAGCTAAAGAGAGTCAACTTTACCCAGAACGGTTACCATGTGTCTTTTGATGCTAATGGAGATCCTGTGGCTTCATACGATGTTGTTAACTGGCAAAAGGGAGAGTGGAGTTATTGAACTGGTAACAGTGGGATATTATGATGCTTCACTGCCAAGAGGCCAGGAGTTTCGTATCAACAGGAATTTAACTTGGTTGGATGGAGACACGCAAGTAATGGGAAAAGTGCAACATTACTCATCTTCTTGAAAACCATTTGTTTCACTATTTTTTATTTTTGGTTTCAGATACCAGTCTCTATTTGTTCAGAGAGTTGTCCTCCAGGAAGTCGTAAAGTGTTGCAGAAAGGAAAACCAATCTGCTGCTATGACTGTATACCATGTCCTGAAGGAGAGATCAGTAACATGACAGGTGACTGTAATGTTTTTATGCAAACCTGTGTCATCAAATAATAAAGAATGAACAGCTGTTATATAATTTTTTCAGATTCTCCTGATTGCTTCCCATGTCCCAGTGAGTTCTGGTCAAATGCAAAGAGAGATGCTTGTTTTCCCAAACCAGTGGAGTTTCTTTCCTTCGATGAAATCTTGTCAATCATCCTGGCTGGATTCTCCATCAGTGGAGCGTTTCTGGCCATCATGACAGCATTAATTTTCTTTCATCACAGAACAACTCCCATTGTCAGAGCCAACAACTCTGAGCTGAGCTTCCTGCTGCTCTTCTCTCTGACTCTGTGTTTCTTATGTTCATTAACTTTCATTGGAGCCCCCTCTGAGTGGTCCTGCATGCTGCGCCACACAGCGTTTGGCATCACATTTGTTCTTTGTATCTCCTGTGTTCTTGGCAAAACTATAGTGGTTCTAATGGCCTTTAAAGCTACACTTCCTGGTAGTAATGCTATGAAATGGTTTGGTCCAACACAACAAAGAATGACTGTAGTGTCTGTAACTTTTATTCAAGTTATAATATGTATCATCTGGTTGGTTGTGAGTCCTCCCTTCCCAGTGAAAAATCTGACCACCTACAAGGAGAAGATCATCCTGGAATGTGCTTTAGGCTCTGCTGTTGGTTTCTGTGCTCGGCTACATCGGCCTGCTGGCTGTGTTTTGCTTTGTGTTAGCTGTTCTAGCTCGGAAACTACCTGATAATTTCAACGAAGCCAAGATGATAACCTTCAGCATGTTGATATTCTGTGCCGTCTGGATCACCTTCATCCCAGCTTATGTCAGCTCTCCTGGAAAATTTACTGTGGCTGTGGAGATATTTGCTATTCTGGCCTCCAGTTTTGGACTCATACTGTGTATATTTGCTCCAAAGTGTTTCATCATTTTGTTTCAGCCAGAGAAGAACACCAAGAAACATTTGATGAACAAGAATTGATTGGGTACTGTCAATAATGAGAAAATGTGAAAAAATGAAGGGATTTCTTTGTATTAGTTTATTTTGCAATGTTAAATTTTCATGCACAGTTGTTCTACTTGTATGTAATTTTTTTTCCTACTCTAGTCTATTTGTGCCATTTTGTGAAATTACCAGAAAATCTATTTAAATAACAAATAAAACTTATGTAAAACTACAACTTTGTTTGGTGTCACTCCCCCAACTTTAAAAACCATTTAAAAAAAAAAAAAAAACAAATGAGTAAAAATTCCAGAGGTCAAAGACTTTGGATCTACTTCACTCTTTATGATGTGTGTCAGGAGTGATGTTTGTTCTTTGTTTTTTTATTTTTTTAAATCAATTTGTTTTATATTAATCATTTTCTGGTTTGGGTGTCAGACCAATATTCCCCCCAAAAATTTAAAAACTGACTGATGGACAGACAGATATATAAATAAATATATTTATTTTATTCTGGCAAAACGTAATGCCACATACAGTGATTGTACAAATGTAATGGCAAAAAACATAATGCTCCACATGTGATAGTCGGTCTCCTGGGCCCTTGAACAATAAGTCTTATTCCTATGCTGTCTTTGTTCAGAGTCTTAGACAGGTTATATAAATTGGTAACAACACTTCCTCACCTGTAGAGCTGGAGGGATGGAAATCTCACTTCTCTTTATTGGCTTGAGACTGGCTCTGAGCCAATGTTTTTGCATTCAGTGGGTCAGATATTGTCAGAAATGGGACCTTACCTATAAAATGTACTCTGCAGGGTACAGCTCGTGTGCCTGCATTCTCAAAGGATGGGGAGTTCATTATTGGCGGCGTTTTTTCCTTACATTACAAGGAGCTGACAAAGATTCACAGCTACACCACTGCGCCTGAGCCGCCCACTTGCACAGGAAGGTTGGTAAGCGGGAGCATGGAAGGGGTGACATACTGAAATGCGAGGGTTCTCATTTGCATGATGTAGAGTTCTGCAGCGAATTGTATTGGCTTTTTTATACATGAGGATATTTTTCAAGAATTATTTGCAAAACATCCAAATTAATGCCAGCAGTGTAAAAAAATTCGATGTCGATACTGATCGAGAAAACCTGACACTGACAATAATAAAGTCATGTTCAATTCATTTGAATATGCTTTCAAAAGAGGCTCATTTGTCAGATTTTAAGTGCAATTTGAAAAAAACAACAACTTTTAAGCAGTTTTTCCACATTAGATACACTTTTTATTTTTACATTTAAAATGTCTTTGTTGTAATGTAACATTCTGACCTTAAATGTCATTTATTGCAACCAATAAATTACCATCATTAACAGAAAAAAGCTTTAAATAATCTACCCAAGAGGAATTAACCTATATAACACATATTAATAGCACAAATTTTAAAAAGCATAAACTTCTTAATTAAATTGACATCTTTTGAGTATGGCAGTATGTAACACTCGCGACGTGTTAACAGTTAAAACAACAATAATAGGACCAGTGTTAGGTTCGGCTGCTGGAGTGGAAATTGAGCTAGTATATAAATGACCACAGACAAGGGAAAGTAAGTTTAACTGCCGGCTTATTATTAGTTGGAAAAGAAAAAAAAAAGAACAATAGACAATATAAATACAGACAATTGACAAACAATGACATAAAATCAATTCAAAATAATTTCCTGTTATTCCAGAATAATCCCTGTTTGAACTTTTAAACCTAATGTTTGGTTTTAAGGGATGTTGTTTATTTAACCTAAATTATAGTTCTAATTTAGTTTGAACAAAGGAGGTTAATCTAATTAATTTTATTCTTTTAAAATCTATTTTAGGAGTTTAGTTTATTTTAAGAGATTATGATATATAAATATAGTTTTAATTTCCTATTTTAACTAACTCTGGTTTCTAATTTTACCCAACAAAAAAATGTACAATCCACACCAATAATGTGCGTGAATACAAAAGGAAAAGGAAAAGATAAAACACAATAATAATAATCCAGTAAGATACTGAACAATTTGTGCTTCAATCAGTCTTTCCTTATGGTGATTTTGAAGGGTTGATCCTGGTTCTCTGGATCCGCTTTTCTGGGTTCCTGGGTCAACGGCTCGCCATCGTAGTCCAATTCGGCAATTTTGCTCGGAATTCCCGGTCCGGCTTCAGTAGGACTTCATAAAAAGGCCTGGTTTAATAACCACAAGCACAAAAGTCCATTTTAACTTTTCTGTGTGTCGCGCAAAGCAACACACTAGCCAACTCGGCTCATTTGTTACATTAACGGCTTCCAACGTATACTAACGGAAATACGTTGCTCCGTTTTTTCCGTTTCGGTCAATAGATTAACTTACAAATAACATTTATCACAGAAATAAAATACAGTCTTTCACTCACCAAGTCCAACAGACAACACTCTTAAAAAACTCCTCCAAAAATGAGGAAAAAGTTTTCAGCTGTTCCTAGCCTTGCTAATCGGCGGTTCGCTTTGATCTCCCTTAGCTTGGCACGACTCTTCACTCCTTCGCTCTCTCTCTCGGTCTGTCTCTCTCTCTCTTGGTCTGTCTCTCTCTCTCTCGGTCTGTCTCTCTCTCGGTCTGTCTCTCTCTCTCTCGGTCTGTCTCTCTCTCTCTTGGTCTGTCTCTCTCTCTCTCTCGGTCTGTCTCTCTCTCGGTGGTCCTGCATGCTGCGCCACACAGCGTTTGGCATCACATTTGTTCTCTGTATCTCCTGTGTTCTTGGCAAAACTATAGTGGTTCTAATGGCCTTTAAAGCTACACTTCCTGGTAGTAATGCTATGAAATGGTTTGGTCCAACACAACAAAGAATGACTGTAGTATCTTTTACATTTATTCAAGTTGTAATATGCATCATCTGGTTGGTTGTGAGTCCTCCCTTCCCAGTGAAAAATCTGACCACCTACAAGGAGAAGATCATCCTGGAATGTGCTTTAGGCTCTGCTGTTGGTTTCTGGGCTGTGCTCGGCTACATCGGCCTGCTGGCTGTGTTTTGCTTTGTGTTAGCTGTTCTAGCTCGGAAACTACCTGATAATTTCAACGAAGCCAAGATGATAACCTTCAGCATGTTGATATTCTGTGCCGTCTGGATCACCTTCATCCCAGCTTATGTCAGCTCTCCTGGAAAATTTACTGTGGCTGTGGAGATATTTGCTATTCTGGCCTCCAGTTTTGGACTCATACTGTGTATATTTGCTCCAAAGTGTTTCATCATTTTGTTTCAGCCAGAGAAAAACACCAAGAAACATTTAATGAACAAAAATTGATATGTCATTGTCAATGATTTGGACACAATTTTGTGTCTTTTCTAATGGAAAATCCAATCGCCTCAGGCTGATTACTTCTTTGACCTTTTTGAATATTTGCTATTAATACTAATTATTACGGCTCCTCTTTTTCAGATTGCACTTAATCTTTAAAGATCTTAATTTCTGTGACTTAGTGAAATACTTTCTATCTGCTTAAAATAAAATGCTACACTCCAGAAACTCAGATGTTTTCTGCATATTTGTTTGCTGATACCTTTTCTATGATACTCCTGGGGATAACATCACAGACACTGGTGTAAAATAGAAATTGTTTTGTGCCCTTTCACACCTTTACAGACACATGGTTAATACCTTAACTCTGCATGTGCTTTTTGGATTTTCTATGTTTTGACATGTTTGTCACACTGAATAAATGCTTAGAAGAGATAAATGTGTGGATGTGCCAAATCGTTCTCCAAATGAACAAAAACAAAATTGAAGTTATTATTTTTGGACCTAAAGAGGAACGATCTAGAGTTATCAATCTAGAGTCAATGGACAGCCTCAGTTATTACAACTAAAACCTATCGATCGGCCCGAAATCTGGGAGTAGAGATGGGCTCTGACCTGAACCTCCAGAGTCACATAAAGACAGTAACAAAATCGGCCTTCTATCACCTGAAGAACATCTCCAGGATTAGAGGACTAATGTCTCAGCCAGATCTAGAGAAACTCATCCATGCGTTTATCTTTAGTCGCATTGATTATTGTAACAGCGTCTTCACAGGCCTGTCCAACAAGTCAATCAAACAGCTGCAGCTGATCCAGAAACTGCTGCTCGCGTTCTCACTAGAACCAGGAAGATAGAGCACATAACATCAGTTTTAAAGTCCCTCCACTGGCTCCCTGTAGCTCAAAGAATAGATTTTAAAATACTGTTGTTAGTTTACAAATCACTGAACGGTTTAGCACCACAATACATCAAAGATCTGCTGTTGTTGAGGTATCAACCTTCCCGACCTCTCAGGTCTTCTGGTTCTGATCTGCTCTGCATCCCCAGAACCAGAACCAAGAGAGGAGAAGCAGCTTTCAGCATCTATGCACCAACAATTTGGAACAAACTTCCAGAAAACTGCAAAACAGCTGAAACACTGAGTTCCTTCAAATCTCGACTAAAAACCCACCTGTTTAGAGTCGGATTTGAAACATAATCAATTACAGATTTAATTATGGAACTTTATGTCATGTTCTGATTGTTGATTCTATGTTGCATGACTTTGTGTTTTTGTGCTTGTTTTGATGCAAAGCACTCCATAATGCCTTTCTGCTGAAATGTGCTGTACAAATGAAACTTGATTGATTGATTAATTGATTGATTGAAAAAGTCAATCAACGAAGATATTTCAGCTTGTTAAACTAGGTCACACATGTGTGTGGATCACGTTGGGTGTAATTTCAAAAGTTCAACAATGATCTCATTTGACCAAAGCAACATCTTCAGGCCTTCCGAAAAATTGCAAAAAGGACTTCTTGTGGTTTTGTCAATGGCGTCCTTCTTGCCACTTCCATAAAGACCATAATGGTTGTCCTGTGAACAGACTCCCCCACCTGAGCAGTAGATCTCTGCATATGGTTCAGAGTCACCGTGGATGCTTCTCTGATCATCCTTGTTTGGCCTGTAAGTGGACAGCCTGTCTCAGTGGGTTTACAGTTGTGCCGTATTCTTTCCATGACTGATGGAACAGGTCCAAGGTTTGGGAATTTCTTTTTAGAGTGTAAGCTTGTTTTAAACATCTCCACCGCTTTCTCCCTGACCGGACTGATGTGTTCCTTGGTCTTCATGGTGCTGCTTGCACCCCAATATTCTCTTAGCCAACCTCTGAGGCCATCACAGAGCAGCTGGGTTTGTCCTGAGATTAGATTACACACAGGTGGACGCTATTTAGACTCAAGCAATCATCAGCAGTCATCATCAACTTCTGAAAACAACTGGTTGTAATCAAAAAAAAGGCGAAGAATTCTTTTGCACACACCACTTTTCAGACATTTCAGGATTTTGTTTGTAAAAAAAACATTTTGAATCATGCTTAAATTTCTTTCTACTTCACATAAATTCCAATAAAAACAATTCCAAGAAAAGCATTGTGGTTGTTAAACTTGACAAAAACGCTGTTGTCCGCAAAAAGCCAAACTATTAAAGAGTTATAATTGGTTAAGCCTAGTCGTAGCAAATCAAAGGATGTATTTTTATGACATTCTGGGATGTTGTTTTTTTGCACACAGCAGATCTAATAAGAACCTGTCCTCAATTCTGCTACAACTGCACATATAAGTGATCGTGCGCCCCTTAGTGGTGCCGATTGAAATTCTGCAACTTTATCATAAAGAGGAGTTTGAGTCTTACATGGGTTGCAACAACAGGCATGATGCTGCTTTCAAAATCCATGGATGGTAAGAACAAATCAGACAGCTAGATGATGTAATCTATGCGATGCAATGATGACGTTTTGGAGGAGAGTTAAATGAAGCAGTAGCAGCACTCACATCCAGCTTTAGAGACTTAAGAGATGGAGATCTCACTTCTCCTTATTGGCTTGAGAGTGGTTCTGGGTATATGTGTTGTTTTAGTTGCTGCTTTTGGTGCATCAGATAGTGTCAAAAATGGGGCTTTGACTATTAGCTGTACTCATCAGGGTGCAGCTCGTGTACCTGCATTCTCAATGGATGGGGAGTTTATTATTGGTGGGGTTTTGCGATCCACTACAAGGGGATCACAAAGATTCACAGCTACACCACTATGCCTGAGCCGCCCACCTGCACAGGGAGGTTGGTAAGAGGGAGTATGGGATATGAAGAGACTGTTTTGCTGAAACGGTTTTTATTTGCATGCTGCAAAGTGCAATGATTTATTTAACAGTTTTCTTTATGTTGTTGTTTTTTTCTTTTCTTTTTTTTTTGAAATTATGCCTGACCTGAAAATAAATTTCGACAGAGAAAATGTCCATTTATATGTTAGTGAAGTTGTGTCGATGACACAACTTCAACTGTTCTTTGTTGATATTCAACTTCTGAGGTCCATAGAAAGGGGCAGAAGTGATAAGAAACAAGTTTATTAGTAGATGATACTCTTTAGTTTATGGTATTGTCTGGTTCATGAAAATGTAAAGAGATTTTAGTCATAAAACAAAAAAAAATCAGTAACATGTAAATGTCTGTGTGCAGTATCAACAGTTGTGAACTGCGCTTCGGTCGTGCGATGATCTTTGCGATTGAGGAGATAAACAACAGCACAGATCTGCTGCCTGGGATTAAACTCGGGTATAAGATCTACGATACATGTGGCTCTGTGACTGTGGCCACTCATGTGGCATTTCAGCTGTCAAACGGCGAGGACCCCGTGATTCAGACAGGACATAATTGTTCTCAGTCGGGTCTGGTAATGGGTGTTATTGGTGACTCTGGATCCACACAATCCATCGGCATTTCACGCATCTTTGGTCTCTTCAATATACCTTTGGTAAATTATTTTAAATCTTTAAAAGCTGTAAAAATATATGTTTTAATGTACATTTGTGAAAAAGAAAAAAAATTTTTGTTTGTTTTTCTTGTTTTAGGTGAGCCACTTCTCCACTTGTGCCTGCCTGTCAAATAAGCAGCAGTTTCCAACTTTCTTCAGAACGATTCCCGGTGACCATTACCAAGCCGATGCACTGGCCAAACTGGTGAAACATTTTGGCTGGACTTGGATAGGAACAATCCATTCAGACTCAGATTATGGAAGAAATGGCATGGCCTCTTTCCTTGAAGCGGCACACAGAGAAGGGATCTGTGTGGAGTACACTGAAGGTTTCCATCGAACTGACCCACACAAGATTCAGATAGTAGCAGATGTCATCCGCAGGTTTGAGCCTCTTCTATCTTTTAATGTTAAAAAGATGTAGACTGTTTTTACCAAGCACTGAAAAAAACATGTTTAAAACATTTAAACACTGATTTCAAACAAGCTTAACTGAGAAAAGCTTTATACATTGTTTTCCCCTTTAGGTCAACTTCGGTCGCTGTGGTGGCATTTACAGCCTCTGGTGACATGAAATTCCTGTTAGAGGAGTTAAACCAACAACCTTCTCCTCCTCGTCAGTGGATTGGAAGTGAGGGCTGGATAACAGACATTCAGCTGCTGAGATTCAGTTTCTGTGCAGGAGCCATTGGAGTTGCTATCCAACAATCTGTCATCCCAGGATTTGGGGACTTCCTGCTGGGTCTCTCTCCCTCTGAAGTTGCCGCCTCCTCCGTCCTCACAGACTTCTGGGAGGAAACGTTCAACTGCAGCCTGACGAATAGTGAGATACGAACATGATCGATTCCCAATTATCTTTAGATTTTGTTTTTAAATGATCTGATATTTTATGCAGAAATGAATATATGTTCTTTGTTGATATTCAAAATTAATTCTGTTACAATATATATTGTATGATTTGCACTAAAAAGTAATTTTCATTTCCATTTTATACATTACACTTTACTGTGTGTAACTGAGCTGAAATTCTTAAAAATTTATCATGTAAAAATGTACGACAGCACTTTATTCTTTTTTTTCTCCTTTCTCAGATACATCTGGAAAAAAGAGGCTTTGTGATGGAACTGAAGACTTAATGACTCTCAAGATCCCGTACACTGAAACATCTAATTTCAGAATCGACAACATGGTGTACAAGGCTGTTTATGCCATAGCACACGCTATTCACAATGCGCTATGTCAGGGAACTAATTTCACTAATACCTGTAAGAAACAAAAAACCTTTGACATAAATCAGGTGGGATTGAATAAAGGCTAAATATATTCTCTTGATATAAATAAATATTTTTTTTTGTTAGTTTAGTATTGTTGAAATTTTCTTTGCTCTCTTCTTATTAATTATTCACCATTCGTCTTTCCAGGTTTTTACGGAGCTAAAGAGAGTCAACTTTACCCAGAACGGTTACCATGTGTCTTTTGATGCTAATGGAGATCCTGTGGCTTCATACGATGTTGTTAACTGGCAGAAAAGGGAGAGTGGAGTTATTGAACTGGTAACAGTGGGATATTATGATGCTTCACTGCCAAGAGGCCAGGAGTTTCGTATCAACAGGAATTTAACTTGGTTGGATGGAGACACGCAAGTAATGGGAAAAGTGCAACATTACTCATCTTCTTGAAAACCATTTGTTTCACTATTTTTTATTTTTTGGTTTCAGATACCAGTCTCTATTTGTTCAGAGAGTTGTCCTCCAGGAAGTCGTAAAGTGTTGCAGAAAGGAAAACCAATCTGCTGCTATGACTGTATACCATGTCCTGAAGGAGAGATCAGTAACATGACAGGTGACTGTAATGTTTTTATGCAAACCTGTGTCATCAAATAATAAAGAATGAACAGCTGTTTATAATTTTATTTTCAGATTCTCCTGATTGCTTCCCATGTCCCAGTGAGTTCTGGCCAAATGCGGAAAAAGATACTTGTTTCCCCAAACCTGTGGAGTTTCTTTCCTTCGATGAAATCTTGTCAATCATCCTGGCTGTATTCTCCATCAGCGGAGCGTTTCTGGCCATCATTACGGGATTAATTTTCTTTCATCACAGAACAACTCCCATTGTCAGAGCCAACAACTCTGAGCTGAGCTTCCTGCTGCTCTTCTCTCTGACTCTGTGTTTCTTATGTTCATTAACTTTCATTGGAGCCCCCTCTGAGTGGTCCTGCATGCTGCGCCACACAGCGTTTGGCATCACATTTGTTCTTTGTATCTCCTGTGTTCTTGGCAAAACTATAGTGGTTCTAATGGCCTTTAAAGCTACACTTCCTGGTAGTAATGCTATGAAATGGTTTGGTCCAACACAGCAAAGAATGACTGTAGTGTCAATCACCTTTATTCAAGTTATAATATGTATCATCTGGTTGGTTGTGAGTCCTCCCTTCCCAGTGAAAAATCTGACCACCTACAAGGAGAAGATCATCCTGGAATGTGCTTTAGGCTCTGCTGTTGGTTTCTGGGCTGTGCTCGGCTACATCGGCCTGCTGGCTGTGTTTTGCTTTGTGTTAGCTGTTCTAGCTCGGAAACTACCTGATAATTTCAACGAAGCCAAGATGATAACCTTCAGCATGTTGATATTCTGCGCCGTCTGGATCACCTTCATCCCAGCTTATGTCAGCTCTCCTGGAAAATTTACTGTGGCTGTGGAGATATTTGCTATTCTGGCCTCCAGTTTTGGACTCATACTGTGTATATTTGCTCCAAAGTGTTTCATCATTTTGTTTCAGCCAGAGAAGAACACTAAGAAATTTCTCATGAACAAAAACACAATCACTTTTTAAGCAGAGGTGATGGCAACTCTCATTTTAATTTCAAAAACTTTTATAATTGTAATACTTAACATAAGAAGAACACCAAAAAACATTTAACGAATAAAATCCCAATGTAAAACATGAATGTGTAACGATGTGATATTAGTTTTTGATAAGTCATGTTGGAATGCTTACATATACTATACTTATTGTTTTGTCATTTTAACTGCATTTTTTCATTTCTTTTTATTTAAATTTTTCTGACATGGATTTCACTTTCGACTTTGTATTTATTTCTGTTCTGCTGAATGGACACGATAAATCATCTTTCGGTTATACATTTAGAAGTTCCCCCAAAATTCAATATTTTGATCTACTTTATACCATTTTCTGATCATTTTCTTTTATTTGTTCCAATAACCCAAGGAACCCAGAACTATGCATTGATCAGAGATAAAAATGTTAAAATAAATTTATCATGCTCAATAGATCTAATGCATCGATACTGCAAGTAGTGCTGAATTCTCAATACTGCACTATTAAAATGTCACATATGTTTTTGTGACCTACAAATAGGTTTTCCTGTTATTTTAATGAGTTTAGATAATCTTTGAGAGCTACTCTTTTGTAATGAATCAGATGAATCCCTTCTTTAACGCCTGGACATGATGAAAAGCTCATTGAAAGGGCAGTACTATGTATTTCCCAGGCTGTTACTTCCAAAAGTGCACAACATATTTGAGAACACAGACACAAGAGTGAGGATTCAAATATTCTATTTATTCAAAAACTCTCCAGGAAATTTCTTTCGGTTAAATAAATAATCAAATACCCTCAGTCCCCGTGTCCAAGAAAAATAAAAATAAAAAAATAAAAATAATATTAACAGAAAGATGGACATGGTGAGCCGGTCAGACAGAACAAGAAGGTACAGCAGGGGGCCAACCCCAAATAGGGCCGTCGAAGCCCTTGCTAGTACCGGACTACAGCAAAAAGAAAGAAAAAAAGAACCTACTGCAAAAGAAAGAAACGAAAATAGGACAACCAGCCCCACCAGGCCAAAATCTCAATAAAAAAGCAAACAAGCAAAGTCTATCAAAAACTACTGCATGGCAGGCTGGAGAAGTCAACTGCGCCCTACAGCCACTGGTTATGTACTCGCACCCCAGCTGGATGTAAAAACGAGAAAGGGCAGATCTACTTCACACACATGTCAAAATCCAGTCTATTTATAGGCGGACCAACAGCGCCACAGTCGAATTAAATACAAAAACAAGAAATTATCCAAACTCAAAAATACATTAAGAAAGTCAAAATCCAGGGAAGTTTTGTATCCCAAAGTCCATGTCTTTTGAACTGATTGTATGTCTGGAACATCGGCGTTTTGATCGCGTTTAACCAGGTGCTACTGACAGAAAAGCCAGATGTGGCCTGCAAACTCAGTTTGGGTGGTGGCAGAATTCCAGGCGGAGGCGGTGTGTTCAAACATCAGGATGTCCGGGAGAGAGCCATCTCTTTTTTTGTCCTGAAAAAGAGGCAATAAGTTGAGTTACAGATCTTACAATAACTGTTATAAAAATAAAGCAATAAAAACTTTGTCTTCTCTCTTCTCATCGGTCCAGTGCTGTTGGTGATGTTGGGTAATCAAGACTTAATCAGACACACATCTCTTAATTTCTGTCTAAATGATCAGTTGAAGTCATCATTATGTTCTCACCTTTCCACAATCTTTTAATCAACCAGTAGATCAGCAGGTGGAAAAGGCCTTCTGCTTCAATTGATGGTCAACTCAGGTCAAGGAGTTGACCAGCATGAGTTGCTGGAGAAATGAAATAAAGAGAAAAGACAACAGAGTTAAAGAGGAAAGCAGACAGAAACCGTTTCTAATGTTCAGCTCAACTCGGAACAAGCTATATTTGAAATGTTTAGCTATGTTCTTACTTTTTTTGTCGTCAACAGGGCTCTCTTGTCTTCCTCCACTTGACTGGTGGTGATGAAGCTGGAGGTTTACAGATTGATGAGGATCCACGTCAGATGATCTGTCTCTTTGTTCTGCGTCCCGTCCTCCGGTGTCCTCCTGTCAAATCTCTGGATTCCCAGCAGGATTTTCCGTGTCTTCTCAGTCCTCTGTGTCGTCTCTCTTCTGATTGGTCCAGTACTCTTGTGTTGTTCAGTCATCCCAATGAACCAACACATGATCAGACACACATTCCTTCATTTCTATCTAAATCAGACTTTCAGAACATGTCATGATCATGTCCTCACCATTTATGATATCAGCAGGTCCTCTGCTTTATGCCTGATCCTCCTTCCATCAGCACAGCCTGGGATGATCAAAGACACCAGAGATCTGAGGAGTCTGAACCTGGATCAGAGACTAGATTTGGGTATTTTTTAAAGTGTGTTGTCTTTTTGTGTTTTGTGTTGAGACACGTGAACATGCTATTGGCCATATAAACTATTTGCTTCATGATATTCATAGTTTGTCTGCATAAAGCTTTACTCTGCATGCTGTTTCCTTCCCTCCTCTCATGTTCTCCAGTGTCCCTCTGAATAAAAGCTCTTAATTAAATTCCTCAATCATCAATTCTGTCTATGTTGTCCCGTATCTTCTCCTTCCTTATTGGTCCATTGTTTTAATTGGGTCTCGATGCAAAATATGACCAGGCAAACATTCCTTATTTAATGTTATTTAGCTCCATGTGGCGGAACACTTCCTTAATTACTAAGAGTGAATTTCTATTTACTCACCATCAGCTTTAGATAAAGATATTTATCTAAAGCTGATGGTGCCCAGCGCCAGCAGGAGGCAAACAGCATCATGTGCATGTGGAACGCAAAAACTTACAAGCAGTGTGAAAAACAAGGGAACCAGAAAGACAGGAACCACATGGACAATGACGAAAGAATCCAGCGATGAGCATCTAACACCTGAAAGATGAAAACTAGGAGAGTGGATTAGTGGAGGAACAGGTGAGAATAATTTACTATATTGCAGCGCACCTTGTGACTATTAGGAAAGCCATTGGCTTTAATAAAAACAAGAGGAGGTTCCTACAGAAGGAGCTGAGGAGAGGGGATAACAGAACGAGATCTTTATGGCTATCAAGACATATCTCCATGCCAATCTTCTGTTGATGCTTTCAAGGGCCTATTCCAGAGTGGACGGTATGGCAGGGTGTTCCTTTTCATCATCACATTTCCTGGTCCTCTTGGCAGGGAGCTCCTCTTCAGTAACACTGTCTTTTGTCCTCTTTCTGTTTTTGTCTGTCACAGATGTCACGTGGGCCATGCTCTTTTCCAAAACTACTTGATGATGTGAGGAACTGATGGGTCTGGAGTCATCAGGGGACAAAATGAGCTCTTTGGGTTTGTCAAGTCCAGGTGAGAATTTAAAACTGGAAGGAAGCACGGTACCAAAACTAAGCTTAAATGATGAGTCGTCCTCCTTCGCAGCATCCGCCTCCCGTTTGTCAAGTCCACATGCAAGTTCAAGTGAAGTAGAGAGAGCCGTGTCTTCCTGAGGCTTCTGAGCCACCCCGATGTCTTTTATGTATTTGAAATTTGGGGGAAGAATCTCAAGCAGCCGTGACGCAGCTTTGGCACGGTTCATTGTCGGGCTACTGTCACCGGAGCTCAGTTCATCAACTGTCTTTTTCAGATGTTTGAATGACTCTTCAAGCACTCCTACGCCCCACAGGAATTTAATGTTTGGTCCAAGGACCTGGACAACCCTAAGTCGGGATTTAAAGTCACCCTGGTATTCATGACCAAACTCCTCTTTACTGGAGCTGCTAGTACAGTCATCATCACCTACCTTGTCGTCGCTGGAGTCGGGAGTACAGTCCACAGGCTGTAGAGGTGAATGACACCTCAACTCCTCTCCCTGATAATCAGAATTCATGTCGTCTGGTTTCTGTGGGAAAACATTTAACCATACCTTACCGTGATCCTTAGCATTCTCTGGATGTCCCTGCAACACTGGGGATCCACCTGCTGGAAGCGCCATCGCATGAGCTGTGAAGGAAAAAAAAAAAAAAACAAAACAAAAGAAAAAGCTATAATTTAGTATCTTCACCTTCACAAAAGTCCAAAGCAATGTTTAGAGAGAACAGTGAAATACCAACAATACAATAACCCAGGTTTGTGAATGCGTTTGTTTTCCTTGAATATATTTAATTAACAATAAATAGTATTGGTATGCCAGATATGATTATACAACAAGAATGGGAATTACGAGATAAAATAAATAAACCTTTTCTTTAGTCACAAAAAAAAAACCTCCAACAAAAAATACATTTTACATAAAAACCAGAATAACACATTATAAAACTCAATAATCAAACAGACTTGCAGCTTCACCTTTGGGACCAATCTGTCATTAAAGACAACAAATCAAATTTTGATGCATTGATAATTCATCCCTAATCATAAACTCATAAACATTTGGAAGCATAAATTAAAGAAACGCTACATCTAAACACCGTGTTTAAGACTTTTTAATAGCTAATGAAACGCCTGTAATCTTTTGTACCACTTGTGTGAATAAAATAAAACACTGCAACAAGTTACTCAGTTTACCATTTTATAACAACCCATCCTCACAAATCTTATTTTATCATTCTTAGTAGCCAGGGATAAGATACATCATCCATTCATTACTATTACACTTAAATCATTGCTTATACAACTTGAATACCTTAAAATTGTCTAATTAAAAAAAAATGTTTCCAATAGCATTTGTAAATGACTAAAATGTTAATTGTTGTCAATCAAATAAAATTCCTTTGAGCTTCAAAGTTTTTCACAATCACAGTCACAGCTACTCTGACACGCCATCAATACTACCTTCATACGCCCACATATATCCAACAACAGAAAAATACATCTATAAAATTAAGAGTTTAAAGATTGGGGATCTAAATAAAAAGGCTGACATAAATGGCCTTTCCTAAGCTTCCGGTAACAAGACGCTCCTACAAAAATAAAACTGTTAATCTGGTTTAGAAATCCACATCCAGTGTTAAAATGGCCATTATATAATCTCTGGAGATAAGCCAGACAAAATAATAAAACTAGTAATTTGCATCTCTTTTGTATGCACGATGTGTGTATGCATGCCCCAAAGTCTTATTATCACATGTTAATATTTGTCCAAATGGGACAGTTATGGCTGAAGGGAATGTTGTGACATTCATTACATCAGTCTGAAGATCTGCACACAACCCATCAATAAACTCAGATGAATTTTCATTGCTCCAAATGCTTCTGTCAATATCTCCACAGAGACAAAGAAAATGGATTCTCTTCAAGTAAATCTCTCAAACTAAAATAAGTTTTCCAATCACCACCCCACCATTGATATCTCTGACTCTTTCTGAAAATGTAATCTGCATGAAAATATATGACAGCTGCAAATGTGCAAAGGACAAAACCTTTTCTAATCTTTTTTGGGGGCATTTTTTGAACACTGGATCAGTTATTGACTTTTTACTCCAAAGATCCAAATTAAACAGATCTCCTCAAACCAAAAGTAACTTTTTAAACCACATAAGTAGTGTTAGCCCTCGACAATCCAACACGAATGCTAACTAACAAGTGAATCGCAACTCAAACCAACATAATTGTTTTCCTAATGAATTCTGACATTCACTGATAACGTTCAATAACTTCTGTAAATGATAAATCACTAAAATGCAATGGAGCAAAACAGATTTTCTGGTTTTGAGTAATTACAATAAACTAAGTAATTTAATTAAAGTAATATGCACACATTGATTGTCTTAAAGATTTTTTTTATGAGAATAAGGTCGCGTGTTGTTGTTTAATCAACGTATCCATGGAGACTACATGTACCGCATTTTCCAAAAAGCTGCGTCCAGAACTTCCCTCGAATCAAAACATTACTGGCATTTTCACAAATTTCAAATAACTAACATATAAATCACAAAATTAATTCAATTAACTCACAAATATTTTACGACCCAAAAATCCAAATGATACGTTTCCAAACTGTGTTTATCTGTTTGAGAAGATAAATTATTTCAAAATGTATTGTCTGAAAACAAAATAGGTAACATTTCTAGAATTAGAAATTAATGTTACTAATTAACATTACTTAATGTTAATTAACTAGTGTTAACAAATTAACTAGTGTTAATTAACATGAGTTAATTAAGAAATTAACTCATGTTAATTAAACTAATTAACATATTTCTTGAGAACAAATCTAAAAAATATAAAATTTCATATTCCTGTGTCTTCCTGATCAAATAATTGATCAAATAAGATTGATTATTTATTGAAAATATGTCTTTCTTTGGTTTATAAAACCAAATAAAAACATATTTGGTTTTATTTGCCCTACAACCAAATATTTTCTAGGGCATTTTTCAAAAAACAACAACAAAAAAATAAATAAATAAATGGCCAAGACAGACATTGGACAGACATTTTCTCAAACACTACTGTTAACATCCCAGACATTTATCCGCAAATTTCAATAAGCTAACACTTAAGTCACAAAACAATTTTAAATAACTCACAAATTTGTTTCCCCCCGCAGATGCAAAAGGGACCTAATAAAGCTATATATTTCAAACAGGTCATGAAAGCATTGGAGAAGACAGCCATGATGCTCTCAGATTAAATAACACCATTTTTGTTTTTTTCCAAATCATTCAACCCATGTTGGCATTCCTGGCTATGCTAAAGAATATAACAGATCAACATGTCCCCATCTTGGAAAAATTATTAAACTAAACAATTAAGATGTAGACTATTATAGGGGAACACACGCAAACACAGAGTAAACTAAACAATTCACTGATATCTCAGTAACAACTTGCTTTCGTGTGGAATGATATTAACCTTCCGGCTGGTCACCCAGCTGGAGCTTCTCCTGGCCAGGAACCGTCTTTCGCAGGTTTGTTAACCACAGGCTTCTTCAGCAAGTTTTGCTAAGCAGACTTTTCAACCAGCTCAAACCTTCTGAGGCTTTTAATTCTCCTTCAGGCGTCTCTCTCTTTCAGTCCCGTCGAAAAGGGAAAGAATTCTGAAGGTCAGGGCTTTTTATAGGGTTGCCAACGCTAACGTCGTTTCCATGGCTTTCATTGACAGTGGTGCCTGTGGTCATCGGGGCCCTCGGGGCAGTAACCCCCAAACTGGAGCAGTGGCTACAACAGATCCCAGGAACAACATCAGACATCTCAGTCCAGAAATGTGCAGTCCTTGGCACAGCCAAGATACTGCAGGACCCTCAAGCTCCCAGGCCTCTGGTAGAGGACCCGAGCTCAGAGGATGAGAACCACCCGCGGTGGGTGAGAAGGGAATTTATTATTTATTTTTGAGAAATGCACTAAAAACATATTTGGTTTCCATGGTAATTACATCAGACTAGCGGTCCTTCTCGCCAACACCTGCAGGAAAGAGGGGAGAAATGTCCTGCCCAAGGACGCAAGGGTAGAGGCTGGCTACTGCAGAGCAAACTCCTACCACTGTCTCCCCAATGATAAGCAATATGTGTGTGTGTTAATGATGGACCATTACTGCATAATGCAAAAGTAAAAAAAAGTTGATGTTAAATAATCCTGCTCCTTTAAGAACTGCAGCTGTTTTTGTATTACTAAAACTGTGTTGGGTCTCATCAGTGAATGTGCTCAAGTAGTTTTGTATTTTCAACATTTCCAAAAGCCGGTGATTGGGAATAGCCAAGAAACTCTGCCTGATCATGCAACTACACTCAAACCCAACCCAAACCTAACCAGACGTATAAAAGAGGAGGCTCGTCGTAAACCAGTGAAAGCACAGTCAGAGAGAGAGAGATTCAGGCACTCAAAGAATGGAAATCTGGAGATCAGCTTTACGTTTATTGGAGCTGATGGCAGTAGTTGCCTCTGGTGGGTTTCTGGATGGTCTGAAAACCCGGAGTGGACTCACAGAGACTGCAAGTGGTGCCAACATTGAGACTCCATCGGCAGAATGTACCCTGCAGGGTTCCCCTCGTTCACCTGTCTACTCAGCAGACGGGGACTTTATCATTGGAGGTGTTTTCTCTATTCATTATCAACTTTACACAGTGATCTATAATTACACCACCAAGCCTGAGCCTCCAAGGTGCGCAGGCAGGTTAGTAAGATAAGAGAGAGAAATTGACAGGATGTTATGGATTTACAAATAGATTTATTGAGGACACACAGACAGGGCTTTATTTGCATGTTGAAACAATACTGTATATTTCTTTGGTAATATTGTGCAGAATTTGAAGTAGATGCTATTGCAACTTGTTTCTGCTTCTTTACAAAAAATGCACACTATGGTTTACTCCTGGGCAGTAAATCTAAATATTACATGGTCATCATTGCTAGTTAGGAGTTTGACTCTTTCAAGCTGCCACATTGCCTTAAATTTTGAATAATGTGTTATTTTATACTTTGAATTCTGTCTGGAAAAATATTTTAATTGTTTTTAGTGAAGAGATAAAATGGACTCTTTGGGGGGTTTGTATAAAGTTTCTGTGCAAGTTTTTCGGATTTTGTTCTTTTTTCTTTTGCTTAGTATTGATGCCCGGGAACTGCGCTTCTCTCGTTCAATGATCTTTGCCATCGAAGAGATAAACAATCGCACGGATCTGCTGCCAGGCATCAAACTCGGGTATCAGATCTACGATTCATGTGCGTCCGTGCCCGTCGCCGTCCACGTGGCATTTCAGCTGACAAACGGCCAGGACCCCGTGTTTTACAAAGGCGCCAACTGTTCTCGGTCCGGCGTGGTGATGGCTGCCGTTGGTGAATCTGGGTCCACACCGTCCATCAGCATGTCACGCATCATGAGCTCTTTCAACATCCCTCAAGTAAATACTCACTTTATTTGAAGCTGAGGATAGACAGAGAGAATGTTTCTGCACATTCATCTTGTTTTTAAAGACATGATGTTTTGCTTCAGGTGAGCCACTACGCCACTTGTGCTTGTCTGTCAGATAAGCAGCACTACCCAAATTTCTTCAGAACGATTCCCAGTGACCAGTTCCAAGCTGACGCTCTGGCCAAGCTGGTGAAACACTTTGGCTGGACGTGGATAGGAGCCGTCCACTCAGACTCGGATTATGGAAATAGCGGCATGGGGTCCTTTCTTGAAGCAGCTCTCAGAGAGGGGATCTGTGTGGAGTACATTGAATCTTTCTTCAGAACTGATTCACAAAGCAAGATCCAAAGAGTCGCCGACGCCATCCGCAGGTGACACTTGTTGCAATTGTCTGTTTTTGCTGACCCTTAAACTGCAACAGAAAATCTTGTCAAGTATTTTTGTTTGAGTTCCTAGTGCAAATTTAACATACAAGTGTCTTTTCAGCTCGAGGAGCTTGTTTTAAGTCAATAATTTCTTAATATTGACAGAAATGTACGAATTCTAAATGAAAGAATCTGATAGGAGATCAAGACATTTTAATTCATAATGTGGGTTTTATAATGTATGGTTTGCCTTTAGATTAGGCAGCATAAAATGTAATGTTTTTGCATTTTCATGTAATTTCACAGGTCAACCGCCATGGTTGTTGTGGCATTTATTGCCTCTGGAGACATGAGGGTCCTGCTGGAGGAGCTGGATCGTGCTCCCCCACCACCTCGCCAGTGGATCGGCAGCGAGTCCTGGGTGACCGACACTTTCATGGTCAGATACAGTTTCTGTGCAGGGGCCATTGGAGTTGCTATTCCTCAGTCTGTCATCCCAGGCATCAGAGACTTCCTCCTGGGACTCTCTCCGTCAGAAGCGGCTGCCTCGCCACTGCTTACTGAGTTCTGGGAGGATGCGTTCAACTGCAGCCTGACAAAAAGTATGAGCACTTTTCTGAATTCTGAGATGTTTGGTATTTTTATTTTTCACATAATCTTAAAAATACTGTCTGCTTTACGGCCAGTCACAAAAAGTCTACCATGTTTACATCCGGTACTAAATTTTCCAGTTATACTGGTTGAGTTTCTTTTTTTTATTTCTTGTAATTGTGAGAAAAAATAGGACCGTGTGGTCAATGTTTAAGTCACATAAAATTGAGGCGAAACGTTTTATCATTTGACATAGACCAGTTATCTGTGTCTTCAGATCCTGCTGCGCACAAGGTCGTGTGTGATGGAACTGAAGACCTAAGGAAGCTGGAGAACCCGTACACCGAAACATCTCAGCTGAGAGTGACTAACATGGTGTACAAGGCCGCTTACGCTGTAGCGCATGCTTTTCACAATGCACTGTGTCGGAAAACAAACGGCACTCTTAAGTGTGATAAATTCATCAAACTGAATGCAAATCAGGTTAGTCCAAATAAAAACCAGGGTTTAGGGGGTCTCTTCTTTTATTATTATTATTATTATTATTATTATTATTATTATTATTATTATTATTATTATTATTATTATTATTATTATTATTATTATTTGCCATTGGTTCTTTGTTGTTTCAGATTTTTTCTGAAATAAAGAAAGTCAATTTTTCTCAAAATGGTTACCATGTCTCCTTTGATGCTAATGGGGAACCCGTAGCTGCATATGAGGTGGTCAACTGGCAAACAACTGAGAGTGGAGGCACTGAGGTTGTGACTGTGGGTTATTATGATGCATCATTGCCAGGAGGACAGCAGTTCCAGATCAATAGAAAGATAACGTGGATGGAGGGTGGATCACAAGTAATGACAGTAACAGTTTTAACAGGTGAGGAGTTTGTGTCTTAAAATAATATTTTTACATTCTCTTGCTTACAGGTTCCAGTGTCAGTGTGTTCAGAGAGTTGTCCTCCTGGAACTCGTAAAGTGTTGCAGAAAGGAAAACCAATCTGCTGCTATGACTGTATACCATGTCCTGAAGGAGAGATCAGTAACATGACAGGTAAAATCTAGAATTTTTCAGAATTGTTAAATGTGTAGTCAATTAAAACCCTCTACGGTTTCATTTTTAGACTCGTCTGCTTGCTCCCCATGCCCCAGAGAGTTCTGGTCAAATGCAAAGAGAGATGCTTGTTTACCCAAACCAGTGGAGTTTCTTTCCTTCGATGAAATTCTGTCAATCATCCTGGCTGCATTCTCAATCAGTGGAGCCAGTCTGACCATCATGACAGCAGTGATTTTTCTTCCATCACAGAACAACTCCCATTGTCAGAGCCAACAACTCTGAGCTGAGCTTCCTGCTGCTCTTCTCTCTGACTCTGTGTTTCTTATGTTCATTAACTTTCATTGGAGCCCCCTCTGAGTGGTCCTGCATGCTGCGCCACACAGCGTTTGGCATCACATTTGTTCTCTGTATCTCCTGTGTTCTTGGCAAAACTATAGTGGTTCTAATGGCCTTTAAAGCTACACTTCCTGGTAGTAATGCTATGAAATGGTTTGGACCAACACAGCAAAGAATGACTGTAGTATCTTTTACATTTATTCAAGTTTTAATATGTATCATCTGGTTGGTTGTGAGTCCTCCCTTCCCAGTGAAAAATCTGACCACCTACAAGGAGAAGATCATCCTGGAATGTGCTTTAGGCTCTGCTGTTGGTTTCTGGGCTGTGCTCGGCTACATCGGCCTGCTGGCTGTGTTTTGCTTTGTGTTAGCTGTTCTAGCTCGGAAACTACCTGATAATTTCAACGAAGCCAAGATGATAACCTTCAGCATGTTGATATTCTGTGCCGTCTGGATCCTTCATCCCAGCTTATGTCAGCTCTCCTGGAAAATTTACTGTGGCTGTGGAGATATTTGCTATTCTGGCCTCCAGTTTTGGACTCATACTGTGTATATTTGCTCCAAAGTGTTTCATTATTTTGTTTCAGCCAGAGAAGAACACCAAGAAACATTTGATGAATAAAAAATAAATTTTCAGGCGTCTTCAAACAGTGAGAATGATTTCAGTTTACGTACTATTTTATATGTATGTTGTCAGAAATGTTATGTTTTCTAAATTTCGACAAATGTCTTCTGCTTCTGTGTAATTCTGACACTGTCCCTTTAACCTGGTGTTGACTTCTTTGACAAGTATTTGTTTACATCACAAAGAAATAAAACTGTAGGTCATTTTTGCAGAAATCAGATTTTTACGTTTTTTTTAAAACCGTCTTCTTGTTGTGACAGTATGAAATGGAGCTTGGACTGAAATACCAACATGAGATAGGAGGAGAGTTATAGCACTATATACTGATACACAATAGTGAGGTTTGGGGGTGGGGGGTTAAACTCACATCTAGAAAAAACTAATGAATAAAAAATGTTTTTTGTAGTTACAGTAGTGATGACACC